TTTAATTAATCACCTAATCATAAAAAATCTCTTTTTATCTTTTTATTTATTTTTCAATGGTATTATAGAAAAATACAAATATTGTCATCAAATTCTTAATTTAAAGAAAAAAAAACTACAATTATTTTAAGATAAATGAAGATAAACAATAATAAAAAGCATTCCCTTATCCTATGAAAGTGTATCTAAACATTGATACCACCTCTCAAATACAAGTAAGATAGATGAATAACGTGCTTAATGACATCAATATATCCGAGCATTTTAAAAAGTAAAGCAGTTGAATAAGTAACAGAATGTGAACTTTCCTGGAACATATTGGTTAAGGCGACCAAAAATATATGGAAGCATAACCATAGACTTCTAATGAACCCATTGTTTGGATAAAGAGCAAAAGACAAAGAGAACCTAATTTAATCATAGAAATGAATAGAAGTCACAGTTTTAATTAATTCTATCAGAACGCGTGGATAAATGGTGTTAATGGAATCTGCTCGCTCCTCAACTGATTTGCACTGCGAGGCACAGTCAATTAGTGATTGACTTGTTATTTTCCTGACGTGGTAATAGATTTATGATGTGAATTGTCTTGTTTCCCATGTTAAGTTTACCATCACCTTCAAAACTTGGGTTTATGAACAGCTGATGCAGTTTCTTGCATGACACGGTAGGTTCTGCATTCTTGAAACGTGCTAGCTCGGAGAGTTCATGAACTGCTTTCGAAATTTTTTCCATGCATTTAATGATCTCAACAAGGATTGAAGCGACTGTGGCAGCTTGCAAGATTGCTAGGAGATCAGTACTCTCGAATGAGAAATCTTTGAGAGCAGTTGTAAGGTGTTTCATGGCAGATTTGGAGTTCTCCAAGTAAGGACTCGCAGAGGATGGCTCTGTCATCGTTTTGATTGCTGTGGCCAGCTCTCTTAATGCCTTGCTACTTTCTGCACTCATCTTTTTGCATGATTCTTGAATTTTGCTTTGAAACCCTGGTGATTGCTGAAAGTAGAATGAAACATAAATTAGAAAACTAGAATTCAAAGTAATAAATTTTTAAGAAATTTATCACTTTTACGGCTTTTTATTATATGAAAAATTAAGAATCACTCTTTTAATTATAAGCCTCTATCTTGGTTCACAAAGCTTAATATATGTGCTGTGTTACTAGTCAATCTAATATTTGATAAATGATATTCGACTGACAATCCAAAAGTAATAAGTTAAAAAGCTCATTTATTATATCTAACTCCACATGCTTTCTTTAATAAGATCATTAGAACTTCTATTTAAAATGAATAGTGAGAGTTGCTAAAACAAAGATAGAACAAAGTGGCTTAAATCCAACCACTAAGAGGGGGAAGACTTTACTCTACAGTTTTTTGCAATTTACTTAGAAAAATTCCGTCATTAAATTGTACTATTGGTCTTATGTTTATGTTATTTTATCAATAAAATTTGTCAAGTATCACAAAGAATGAAAAAAAAAAAACACTTATTAATTTATGTCATTTATCAAATAAAAAGGATCAATAAAAACTTTTTTTTTTTATCAACGTCAATAAAAAAGAATATTATATCATGTTATGAAGTATTTTTTATACACAAATATAGTCACTGTATCATTTTCAAAATACTTATAGAAACGGTGTATATGAGAGTTGAATTTGGTTTTTTAAAGACTGTGAAGAACTACCTGGAAATCAGAGTCAACGTAGGGATTCATAGCTTCAATCGACGAGGCACATTCTCGAGCAAGGTCTCCAATCTTCAAGTACTGCTTCCACGGATAAAAAAGCCTGAAACGCCCATGCCCCGGTTCCCATCTGGCAAGATTTGCCTATATATTTATAATTTGAATAAATTAAGTAAATCTCAGATGCATGCTAGTGTAATCAAGTTTATGCATACATACATACATACATACATATAATGGAAATAGAGGTTCTAACTCACCAACATTTCTTCTTTGCCCTTTGAACTGAGAACAGATTTATACCCTTGAAGAAATGACTCATCTTTCTTAATCACCACGGTCCCACCGTGTTTAGAAGATTCAAAACAAACACTTCCAAATGCTGCATATTTTGTAATAAACAACAATTCAGAAAGAAAATAAAAGTGCTGTTCAAAAAAAAAAGAAAGAAAATAAAAGTATTTGTAAAAATTGATTACACTGACTTATTGACTGCACACTATCTTTACGCTATCTAACTTAATCTTAGAAACTTTAACTTTCGAATTAAAAACATCAAATTATATCTCTGGCCCTCTAATATTAATTTAGCATAAGATTAACATTAGAAAATTATTTGTCTCTGGAGATATGGACGTTAGACCCACGGCAAGCATATTATTAAACAAGTAAGGGTTTTCTAATGATTCAGGTTTGATATATAAGTTTGACTTTGGAACTTTATGTATTAATCTATTAATTAGCTAAAGTGATTTAAGTTTTTGATTATTTTGTAGATGAGAAATGCCAGACCAGTATTCTTCATTAATAGGCATATAAGTGTTTGATGAAATGCCTAAGAGGGATCTGCTGGGTTCTTGGGTACAGGCCATTGAATGTAAAGGATGTTGAATTGAGATTGTGTAAATGGGGATGCAATGGGTTGAGGTAACCCTTGTACCTCCTTAATAAAACACACTTCTTTAGTTGATCAAAATATACATATATATATATTACTTGGGTTAAATATAGCTTACCTTCTAGATAGTTTGAAAGTTTTTCTAGATTGGAAGCGACGGAATTGTGAAGATCTTCACCAGCCCATACTGGAAAGATGCAAATAGATATAATAATACAAGCTGCTCCTCCTATTAATACTGTTGATAGTCTTTCCCAGGCTACTTGAAAGTCATTTTCAACTGAATCAACTCTGAATCCATAGTCAGTAACCAAACTGAATGTCAAAATGAATATCATCACCCCATAATCATATCTTGCCTTAATCGTCGGGAAAAATCGAGTGAATGTTGCTCCTGCAGCTGCAAAGCCAAGCAATTTGAAATAATATCAGATCTTGTTGTACAAAATTTTTTCATAGTAACAACCAAATAGAAGATAATTAGACCCTGTTTGATCTAGCTAGCAGTTGATAATTAATAATCAATTTCGAATGGCTGATAGTCGCTGTTATCTATACCTATTACAAAGACAGAGATGCCAATGACGATGCCTTCTGCAATTTTATTTTGCCCATGAAAGCATTCTGCAGGCTGAGTGTCACAGATATGGCCTATGCGTCTTGCCAGTGAAACTGCTCCAAACCCTAGTGCACCACCGAGAAATGTTGCTAAACCTCTGTTTAAACCTCTGCTTAGAGTTGCACCTAAATACAATTAAGACAAAGGTAAATTGTCATGACTCGGAATTGAAGGTGTTATAAGTTTTCTCTGAGTGAAGTAAAATACCTGCCGTAAAATCAAATACAACCACCACTGTAATCACTGCCCATATCCCATTCACCCCAAATCTGTCATAGAGATGCTGTTCATAGTATATGAATGAAACCAATGTGATGGCAAGTGCAACTTTGAGGGAGTGCGTTATTCTTCTTGGATCATCTTTTCCCAACTTGATATAGCTCTTGGGGATTGATAAAACATTTTCTTTGAATTTAGCGAGCAAGGCTTTCTCCATTGCTGAACTTTCTTGAAGGGTTGATGGTAACATTTAGCTAGCTCCAAGAGGAAGGAAAGAAATAACTCTCGAGTTTGATTCACTATTGTGTAAATGTTGGAGTCAGCACTTAACTCTTAAGTTTGCTGCTGGTCATAAAAGCCTGTACGTATTTATAGGGAGGCAGGGCTAATTTATAAAATTCAGCTGTACATGGAAGGAGTGGAATATATACCTAAATTTAATTAAGAAGCAAAGCAATACTATAATAATAACAATAATAAGAATGATAATGATATAATGCTGATATAATGTCGATGATAATTCTTTTATGCAAGTAATTTTTTTTTATGAAAGTAAATTAATATATATTTAAGTAAACAGAGATTAGGGAAAAGGATCTATTAATTTTTTTTTTTGAATATTTTGAGATTAATATTTATTTAGAGATATTAAAATTTCTTTGAGTATATTTTTAAAAGCACAATTTTACATTGATCTAATGCATTTGATCATTAATCTTAAATATTAAACTTAACCTATATAATACCAATAATTACATATCAATCAATTAATCGTTGCTATAGTAATAACGAATCTCATTAGTATATGTTTCATGTGATGAGGAAAATTTATAAAATTTCTACAATAGAGGGTTGAGATGCAGGGAGATCATTAAAAAAGAAAAAAAGAAGAAGAAGAAGAAGAATTAGAAAAGAGAATACCACCGTTTAATTCCCTGTCTAACGAATCCAAGATATGTAAGTATCACTTTAATATTTATGTTCAAATTTCTTCCCCCATAGTCTCGCCGATTAAAGTTGAAAGCAAATGATGGAAAACCAAAACCTCCTATTTGCACTCTCTATTTATTTTATTTTTTTTGTGGTTAATACTATTTAAAATTTTTCCTTCGGGTTAACACCTTTTATTTTTCTAAACAAGTGAAAAACTCAATATTTTAATAAACATTTATGTGCTTGTCACATGAACGTTAATAACTATTAAAAAGTGTAATCCGTGGCATCCAAATAATAACATAGGCATTATGTGGCACCATTAATCCGATTTGGATATTTTTTTTGATAATGTGGTATAATTTTCTGGATACACGAACACCATGTGTGCAATGGGAACCACTAAAAAAAAAACAAAAAAAAAACAAAAACAGGAAACTTTAAAAGAGATCTGCAGCACTTTTGGGGATTTATGGTTTGGCTTCATCCCCTTTTTAATCTTCACCGATACCGATCTTTCCACGATCTTCCATTTTCACTTTCTTCAAAGCATTTCCATTCCAGGATGAGTTGCTTAGGTTGAGTTTTGGCGGTTCAATATCCGCGAAAGCCACTCCGTTGGTGCAGTTTGAATTCTTCCGACCCTAGATTTTTGTAACTGAGCAGCAATTGGAGTTCAAGATGGCGATCTATCGTAGCCGATGCCAACTCTTCAACCTTCGCGACCTCAATTAACTCCGATTCTCTCAACAAGACTGCCGCCGAGTACTTTTTCCTTTTCTAAAGCTATTCCTACCAGCAATTGAGAATTTAATTGATATTTCAATATAGTTTTCTGGATTAGGAGATTTGTCTCTGATCGTAAGAAATAGAAATTGTGCGATCCTTCCCTTGGACAACTTGAAGAAATGAAGTTGGAGCTGTAATCACGGAAGAAACTTCAGCTTGTAATTGATTTGAGTGTATTAAATTTGGTGATAGAAGGCCATATTTCTCAAAAACTTTCAAAATAACTAATTATTGACAATGAGAAGGCAATGAGAAGGCCTGAATATTGCCTTTTAAATGGAAATACTTTGTTAGATTTTGAAGAAAGTTCAGTGAAGATTAAAAATGGAATGAAGTCAAACCCTAAATCCCCAAAAAGTGTTGCGGATTTCTTTTAAAGTTCCCTGTTTTAGTTTTTCTTTTTTGGTTGGGATGCCAACAGTGGTCTCTACTGCACATGTGAACGCCACATCAGTAAAAAATTATGTTACATCATAAAAAAAAAAAGATTCACATTGGATTAATAACATCAGATAATGCCCACGTCACTGTCTGGATGCCACGTATTGCTTTTGTTAATGGTTACTAATATTTTTGAGGAAAAATGGTTACTAATATTTATATGAATATCTATTAAAATATTGAGTTTTTCACAAGTTTAAAAAGATGAAAAGTGTTGATCGAGAGAAAAAATTTTGAAAAGTATTGACGACAAAAAGAAAATAAATAGAATGTGCAAATATGGGCTTTGGCCATGACAGAAAACCCAAAACAGGATGAGAAGAAAGAAAATGAAAAAGGAGATCTTTTTTTCAAAATTTAAATTGTATTAAACTGTAAAATATAAATTATTAGATATAATTTATATTTCCAATATCAGATAACCCACCCCTAATCTAATGATTTATATAATACAATTTGATACAATTTAAACTATATTACACTTTTTTAACTTAAAAAAAAAAAAGAAAAA